CAATGTTCGGAACCAACACCAGGACCTGTCACAAAGTGATGGTGTTTCTGGACAAACAGTTGACTGGGCTTGCAAAATAAACTAAGACAGAGGATCCCTTGGCTCTCTTGTATCCTGAGATGCTAATCCCCCTCTGTATACGGATAGGTGAAAATAAAGGAAATCTCAAGAGCTTTACACACTAATGTAGTGTGTACACACTACTACTTCTCTAGTTTATCTTGATGATTCTTCTTCCCTAGCCAACAAATGTATAGAAATGTGGATGTAGGACATATATTTTTATAGAGCTGCTTCAGCAACTGTGAACGTATCTTTTCTCCTTTCCATACCTATTACTTAGTCCTAGGAATTGATAGCCCAAGGGTGCAGCGCTAAATTGGAATTCAAATAACCTTTATTGAAACATGTATAGACTAGCTCCTTATTTAAACAGGATCAGTAAACATTTGTAGCTATGACTAGATTGCCACAATAGTGGTGTGATAAGCCTATTTTAATATGATTCAATGAGTATCAAGAAAAGATGAATGTCATGTGTATCCAGGTCCTTCATTTAAATTATCAGACAGCCTCACAAGAAGATACTTTAAAAATAAATGCATTACAATTAGCTAAAATAATAAATCTATAAGACTAACTTAAAACAATATAATGAATTATTAAAGCCTAGACAATCTTTTATTTGCTTTTTATATTTTATATTTTTGATATTTGTAGGTCAAACTCTAACCAAGCAACTTGTATCATACATAACACAAAACACTAATTTGCTATCTCTAGTCTAATATTTAATAGAACAGTTTATAAACAGTGGTGGAAAACAATTTCAATTCAGCTTGCTTTGAATGTTTTCTTACACTTTAAGCAGTTCTTGTGGGGGGGCATCTCATAGGTTTGGTAGTGAATGTAGCTCACGTTCTGTATATTATGACTCCTGGATCATAACTTCAATAGGATTTAAGAAACTATCATTATAAGCAGATGGGGAAAAGAAATGGATGGAACTCCCACTTTCATATGTACATACATATTCACACCAAATGCTATCTTTTAAAAGGAATAAAGCGAAACGTTTATAATCTTGAGGTTTAGTGTTAAGGGTGTAGTGTTATGTGTTTTCAAACTAGATAAAAGAGAAGGCAGAATTCATTGGTTTTCAGCTTCTGATGCAGCATGCTTCTGAGACTTCAAGATAGACTGCTAAAAGCAAATGCTGGGAAAGGAAGATTCCCATCAAGTCAAATCTAACAAGCTAATATTTTGATGCTGATGTTTCAACGCATTGACAGCAGGATATGGAATTATTTGAACAAACTTCAGTAGACTTTTCTACTCCTGCCTGCTGTTCCCAGCTTAGCTGGAGCTGGACTAATCATTACATTAAATGGATGCAAGTATCTTGTATTAAGCATTTAAAGTCTTTAAATATGGTCTGAAAAAAATATCTCCCTTGGACATATACAAAGTACACCAGATATGTATACACTCTGATGTTAGTCTGTAAGCATAGCTAGCATTTTCTACAACCTTCAGAGGTATATGATAGATCATTTCTAGAACTTCACATTAGAGTACAGTACTGTAAAACTTTGTGGTCTTGTGCTTTATATTCTGTATTATTGCAAGAGATTGAAGAATTTCTGCTAATAATATTGGAAAGTGTATAATTAAGTACATTTTTTCAGCAATGGGTTGAGTGAGCTGGAGTCCTTTACAATATCTTCCCAGATTGTGGGATAGCAAGAAGTCCCTTGAAAATAGAGTATTGCATAAAATGGAGTAGAGGAAATACTGTACAGGGATACAGCAACTGCAGCAGAGTGCTAATTACTCTGTCCCTTGCCTTGTTCTATTGTAGTAACTGCGCATAGAGAGCCAGTTTGGTGTACTGTAGTGGTTAAGGCACCAGGCTAGAACCTGAGAGACTGTCAATTCTATTCCCGCCTTAGACATGAAAGCTGGCTGGGTGACCTCAGGCCAGTCAGTTTCTCTCAGTCCTAGGAAGAAGGCAACGCCAAAACCACTTCCAAAGTCTCGCTAAGAAAACTGCAGGGACTTGCCCAGGCAGTCATTCTCCAGGAGTCAAGACTGACTTGGAAACACAAAAGAACTACACATAAGGCAGGTGTGTGATCTCATATTGTATGAGATTCAGTTCTCAAATGGTCAGAGGAAAACAATCAAAACATCAGATCTATCTGTTGCCGAAACAGATAGAAATCAGGCTGCCCACCAAAGAGAGGGCCCTATTAGATAGCTCAGACAGGAGGAGGAGGTGCAAAATTATAAATTTGTTTTAACTGTATATTGAACTTGTTCTTGATACAAAACAGTGGCTGGAATTTGAGTATTGTAGAATGGAAAATAAATAGATAGATAGGTAGATAGATAGGTAGATAGATAGATAGATAGATAGGTAGATAGATAGG